TAAAATATACACCATTACACCATCATGCCCCATTACAGTTATTGTGTGTGGGTGGGAGATCAATACACTTCCTCTGCCTACAGTTTCAAAGAACACATGTTTAGTACTTGGCAAGGTGCAAACAAAAAGAGTTTGTGCATCTGATGATTTCCCTGCCAGAGTTCCAGGCCTGTGTGACACTAGAGAACCAGACAGGCCTTGCCTCAAACAGTAGTTGGTTGTACAGGAAGAGCAACAGTGATGTAGCTGCCCTAGTGTAAGCCCCTATTGTAGACATGCTGCATCAGAGTAAAAAAACAACTCCTTTGAAACTAGAGTAAGATGTTAGAGCAAGTCACAGTTTACACCTGTGTAGCAGATGTGCGCAAGGGGTTTGCACTGGTTCAGCTCCATCAGTGTTGCTGCGTCAGTGTATACAGCTCTAATGGAGGCAGGCCACAGTAGTTAATCAGGCCCAAAGTATTTTCATTTATGCAACAAAAGTACCTAGAAACTGAAAGTCAGGAAGCTGGGGGCAGGCTGTATCTGGTCCTGCATGGGAGCAATACAGGACACAAGGCACCAGCTACAGTCCGTTGAATTCTGACGACTTGGTGGGGTGAGGCGGAACCATGGTACCTCCATGCACCTGGCCCAATTCAGTAAGGTAATGCTCACTGCACCATAAAAAAGGGTGGTGAGAGCCCCTGCTCCAGCATGCACTCCCCCCGAGATAGCCAAAATTGCTCTAGAGATCCCTGCTGCCCCCCCAAACCCCTCATCTCTCTCATACAACACAACTCCAGCTTTCACACATGAAAATACTCCAGTTCATACCGCTGAACAAGTGGTGTTGAACTGGGCCTACCATTCAAACACGTTAGCACAGCTACTTCCATGTAGTGGAACTGTCTATCAGGTGCCAAACTGTGTACCTACTTAGAGTCAAATACTTCCCTTGCATATGTGTACACTCTTCTCCTTGGCTTCACTAGGAGCTTTGCATGTGATTTTAGCACAAACACAGGAGAATGTCTGTACGTGAGTGAACACCCGGTCCTGTCAGACCTTTAGTTTCACTTGCTCTATTTAATCAAAGCCTCAGAAGCTGTTTTTCCCCTTTCAGTCAAACAAGCAATAATCTTTGTAACCAGAAGGAAACTTAGTTGCATCATGAAAGTCTGTTTACTAAAGTTGAGACCAAATGTAATTTCTTTAAAATGTTCTAAATCCCAGATAATGCTGCCACTTAAATACTGCAGTGACAAAGGTTCTAGAAACACCTTAAAAAGGTTTCCTCACTGTGCTGTGTTGCCAATTCTCAGGACTTTTACAAACAGTTTCACAGTATTTGGTCTTTTTCTTAAAGCTTCAGCTCCTGGAGTCAGGTAATTATATGAAAATCTCAGCTTCCATTTTTTTAAAAAAAGTTTCTAGGCTACAGGGTTGCAGAGAGAAGTTGGAAAACATGAACTCTAAAGACTCAAAAATCAGAAGGGAAATAAAAAGAATTCACGTTTAAAAAACAAAACAAAACCACTCCTGATCTAGTGCAGCGTAAGTTCATTTTATTTGAATGATGCTAAGTTTATCAAACTTGTGCCCAGAAACATTTGCTCCTTGGCAACAATTAAACTTTCATTAGTACATGTTGTATGATGAAATCGTAGATTATTTGTTTGGATTTATATGGAAAGACTTGACAGCTTTTCTTAGTCCTACTTACTGAGATGTTAATTTAAGTTCAGGCTCTCTGAGAACAAGACTGTACCCTTTGGAGCTGCGGGTAACGGCGCCCTTTGTTTGTAGAAGGATCTTGGGTGCCTCTTCAGCAGTATTCTTTTCTCTCCCACTAGGCTCCACAGAAGACTCTCCCTTGGCTTGGGGGATTTCCATATAGAGAAGGTGGAGGGAGTAGGCAGGCTCCGGGAGGTGGGAGCATTAGGCAGAGAAAATATCATTCTCCCCACCCTCCATCTCCCACAGACTGCCCTTGAGGAAAGTTAATATGGCCTGATGAGCCCCCTATGTGCTGGGGAACCCCTTCAGGGGGAATAGCTGGCAGCACAGACTGGAGGCAAAGCCACCCGTGGCAATGCAGAAGTGCAGGATCTGCATATGGATGGCCCTGAGTCCCTCCTGAATCCCATGATTCAGGAGGATCTTGGAGACCCCTGGTTTCTTTGGGGAGAGGCGATCCCTCCCTCCCTCCCTCCCAAGGTATACTAAAGAAAACAGTTTCCTAGTTCACAGTGGGTGTTTCCTTTAGGGCCATGGTCTAGCCCTGTGTGTGTTGCTGGATTAGGTTTGGATAAGGTGTGTAACCGGTAACTCTTTGCTAAGTAGAGTTTCAGACAGCTTTCTCATTTTTAAACTTCATTTGCTGTCTGCTGGTTTCATGTGTTTTCCCAGGAATGCCTAAGGAGGGGGTGGTGACTATTTAACTTTGTGAAACTTCAAAGAAAATTTCTACTTTAAAAAAATCAGAATCAAGCCTCACCCTCCAGTCCCTCATTCTTCAATGTACTCACATCAGTAATCTTTCCTCATGCAAATAGGGTCCTCCCATTGACGTGAAAGGGACTTCTGACATGGATAGGTTTTTTTCCATAGAAGTGAGGGCTGGATGGTTGGGCTGTTGATATTCAAAAAGTGAATAATAAAGAATTGCAAATAAGGAGGATTTAAGTAAATAAAAGTTATTTACATCTGTTCTTACAGGGACTTTTCAAAAATTGGCCTCTACCTTTGCATATACACACTTATTTATTTCAATTTATAATAAACAAAAGGGCTTGTCCACTGCTTTGGATGCTAATATTCAGCTAAAAACTCACTAGCATAATCAGATCATCAAAACAACTAACCAGAGCTTAGATGATTTCCCCCCTAAGTGCAAGCCCTTCAATGGAAGACATGCCATGTCACTTTTCCAGTCCACCAGCTACTGTGGAAGAGGAATGGGGTCATGACACCTCCATGTGCCCTGTAACATGTCTAGCACTACCGATGGTAACAGTAATCCAGAGAGTACACACGCAGGGCCAGCTGTAATCTAACCCTTAGATGAGCCACTGACAATTTAAGGTATGCCAGGGTGTTCAGTTGTAATGGGATGGGGCCATGTGATAGAAACAACAGGTGAATAACAGATGATTAACAGACATCTTCCTAGCAGATGATCTGTGTGTAACCCCCTCGCTGAATGCCAGAACATGAGTAAGAGGCATGCCCCCACACCTTTTGCATGCCCACATATGTTTTAATTTTCTATATCTTATCAAAATGCAGCATGCATGATTCATCTTTTCCTAGGGTACCAACAAATGAATCCTCAACAACAAAAATAATGGAAAATTCTGCTTCTTCTAGTACAGAATAAAGAACCCACAGGAGCAAGCTCATTCGTTAAAACCATATCAGTAACTCATCCACAGAAACCAGTTGATATAATACTATGCTAAAAGGGGGAAAGATCGCAACTAGTTTTAGTCATAATCATAGTACTTGATAAACCCTGTGCACTCTTTACAGAAATTTCCATATACATTTAAGGTGTCAAATAGACAATGTCATTCATACAACTTTTATTTGAACAATACTTACAACAAAGATGGGGACAAACCAACACTTCAGCCAAACAGCTTTTCCTCAAGGAGTCCTTGGTCATTTGGTAGTCTTTGGAAAGCACAAAGGATATACAGTAGAACCTCAGAGTTATGGACACTTCCGGAATGGAGGTTTTCCATAACTCTGAAATGTTCCGTAACTCTGAAGAAGAGGTTATGGACTTCAGCCACATGGGGGGTTGGTGCTGCAGCTGCCGGGTGGGGGGAGTCAGGGCTCAGGGCAGGGAGGGGAAGACGGGGCTTCTGACTCTCAGGGTGGAGGCTCAGGGCTTCCGCCCTGTTGGAGCACTGGGGCTCAGCACTTTAGACCTGGGGGGAGCGCCGTGATTGGGGCTTCAGCCCCATGGCTCCAATCCCGGCTTCAGCCCCTCAGGGGCGCAAGGGCTCAGGGCTCTTCACGGCTCTGCTCCCTGCTTCACCGGGATGGGGGGAGACCCACACCAGGGCTCGGGGCTTTAGCTGTGGGGGGAGCACTCGGGCTGAAACCGGCACTCCCCTTGTAGCTAAAGCCCTGAGCCCCAGCACCCCTCTATTTTTAAGGAGGAAAAATTGGAAAACCACTGGCCAATTGGATTACATGTTCAGAAATATTTTAAGGGAGAAAAGATTCCAATCAACACATTGCTCAGGTTTGTTATCTTTGATGCAGTTACTGATTTGGCAGATAACAGGAAGCCAGTGGATATTGTATATTTGGATTTCAATGTGGCCATCAGTTTATTACCACATTATCAATTGGCATTTTTCCAGTTTATTTAGAAGCTTATGAAGTACCATTGCATGGAACAAAAACAAGGTTGTAAAACAGAGTAACCATCAAAGGTCCAACTTTCTGTCCCTTACTCTTGCTGAGCAGTACTTACAATTGTAATCCCATTGAAGTCAGTGGAACTATTTGCATAAGTACAACTCACCATGATGAAGGGGTGCAGAATTCAGTCCCAAGTTAAGATCCCCAGTGTGGAACAGAGAGAAGGGAATAACAGAGCCTAAGCCAGTCTGGGGACTTATACTACTTTGTATAGTCTTGATTAAAAACATGGAGGAGAATGTAAATGCTCTTCAAAGGGACACATGCATATATATATGCTTGTATCCCTCTAAATTCTGTGTTTCATAAAAATCGAAACATTTCTGAGAAAGTATTCATATACGTTTATATGCTGTCTTTCTTTGGATTTTTCTATTGTGAGACCTTATTTGTTATTTCTACAATGCCCAGAAGCATTCTAAGAAACTCACAGCCCAAACAATTTTGGGAGGGGCAGGAATTCTCAAATCTGAAATAAACAGCAAATGCCATTGTTGTATTTATTCCTCCCAAGGATAGACAGTGCAGCAAAACATGTGCTTCATTGTTAAATGTTTCTCTTCCCCTTGCTTGTTTTCCAGAGTGGAAACAGGATTCTGTGTTCCATCATTCTGAACCATCACCAGGGTTCATCGATAATAAACTATGACGATGAGAACGGGAAGACGTGTATGCACATTGCTGCTGCTGCAGGTTACAGTGACATTATCAGCGAGCTGGCTAGAGTCCCGGAGTGCAATCTGCAGGCCCTTGATGTGGATGACAGGTACCCATGGAAATGTACTGAAAGTGCTGGAAACCCCCTGCTCTAAGTCCCATTGTGTTACCTGAGGCTAAGAATGTCTGTTTAATAATCATGTTTCCTGTTCTACAGGCCATGACCTATTTAATTTAACTGAATTTTCTGAGAATTATGTGTGCTTAGTGAGTCCGGAAATCAGTCCATAATATTTATACAACTGCTGACTCATGTAAATGGTTTTTTACACTATATTTCTGGAAGGAAAAGAAGGTGATTATACACACGGGCTTGTTACTATTTGATTCACTAAAATTAGGCATTCCTTCCAAAATACCAGAACAAGAACCTACGACTTGGGGTGAAGCCCTGGCCCCATTGAAGTCAATGACAAAACTCCCGTTGACTTTACTGGGTGCAGGCTTTCACCCTTAGTATGCTAAGATGTTAGAGCCTGATTTTCAAGATGCTGAGAACCTCATCTCCCATTCTCACAGGAAGCACTTTGCACCATTGTATTGTACATGTAGAAGATTCCTCCGCTTTACTGTTTAGGATCCCAATCCTGCATCCATCAAAGTCTATGGGAGTTTTAGCGTTGAGTTCAGTAAGAGTAGAACCTGAGGGCTGTCAGTAACAGCTCTCAGACTTAATCCAATTATGGGCCTATCCTATTCCCCATGAAGTCAATATCAAAAGTCTCACTAGCTTCAATGGGAGCAGAATTGCTCTTTTAGGATTTACACATTTAATCCTTTATGGAAAAGTCCTATAAAACTTAATAGAGATTAAACCAACAGGGTTCTATAGATTTTACCCTAAAAATCTTCAATATGCAAATGGGAAAACATTTTTCTATTAAATTCCTTCACGTTTTCCTTTAAGAGATATCATTTTGGAGACTGGACAATACCTTATAAGCCCTCATTAGCTGTCCTTTCAATTCTGTTCCCTTTACACTCATCTGAAATCAATGGGTTGCACCATGTTCACACACTTCCTCTTTTATTCACCTATTGTCATTCACAATCTTTCTTATCTGGCATGTTCTGTACCTTGCAGCTTATTTCAATTTCAGAAATATAAGCAGTGGTTTTTCTGTGTAATGTTAAAATTTTGAGGCCAAATATTATTTTCTATACACTAGGCCCAAATAATGCTTCTTCCACTGTGACTTCAGAGGTTTCTGGTTGCAGAAAATCAAATAGGTTCCCCTACACAAGAAAGGATCAGGACAGCTTGATTTAGAAAATGGATCTGCCTCTATATGGGTCTCCTGCTGGTCCTCGTCCACTATGTAATGGAACACAGCAGCAAAAGAAGCTACTGTAATCTGATGGATGAAGTAGCAGTTGCGGAGTAGCTCCACTACTGCTCTGTGGCTAGAGAGAGCATCCTTTCCCCTACATCCTCACAGCTGGGTCCAATGCAGAGGTGGGAAGGAGTTGCCACCAGACAATGGAGACTAGAAAACTTTTCTTCAAACTCTGCTCTGGGAATTTTAGGCAATTCTTTCCCTAGTTCAGATCCACCAGTGCTAGCAATCATGGAGTGTTAATGTAGATCAACCAGAGGCATTTTTACCACCACATCATTGAGAGCGCTAGATGATACACTCTGTGAAGATGCAGGCTAGGTAGTACTGAAATAGTTCTCACTGGGTCATTAATTTGTTCCATATTTTCCCTAGGACGCCTCTACACTGGGCTGCAGCAGCAGGGAAAGCTGACTGTGTACAGACGCTGCTGCAGCTGGGGATAGATAGCAGCTCTCGGGACATCAATGAAAACACTCCTCTGACATATGCAATGTACTGTGGGCACACAGCGTGCATCAAGCTGCTCTCTCAGGAGAACAGGTAAAGGAACAAGAAATCAAAGAACCTCTTGCTTTTGCCAGCAGGTCACTTGCTAGAACAGTATATCAGTAGGAAAGAAATGACATTTCCTTCTCGCTGAATGCTACTGAAGAATGCAAGAGCCGCGAAACTACTGAAATTAATCTGCAGTTCCTATACAATGCTTGGTTCAAATTCTTCACTATAAATACCAATGGTAAAGTCAATCAACTAATGAATGACCTGTCTCAGGTAGGGTTCAGAACAATAAATATAGGGTTCAGAACAAATCAAACATGAATTTAGTTGTAAATCAATACAGCAATGTCTCCTGCACAAAATACATGTGATGGGACAATTTTTGCCCTCAAATATCTGCCTTCTGTTGAAGCTCATGGAGGTTAGCTATGTGTTCATGTAACCACCATTGGTTCATGTAACTACGGCAGAATTTGCCCCACTAAATATAATAGTCGTGTTTCAAATGGCTAATAATATAAGCTTTCATACCCATAACTTTAAAATAGTTTTCACCCTTGTCGTAATGTTTTTGTCTATGATTAGTTCTGTGCCTTGCTGTGTACATGTTTTCACTTTTCTAAACCTCTTCTATTAAAGAGGCTTTATTATTGGTCTCTTTACGAATTATTTTTCCTTTTATCAATGGCCCCAATTTTGTTCATTTAGGTTCTTCTTCACTGGTAGAAAACTCACTTATAAAGAGTGAAAGCTATCATGCTGATTTTTTTTTTTAGACTTTTGTTACATTTCTTTATCCTGCCCCTTTCTTTCCAGTCAACAGTCAGTATTATTTCCTGCGTTACAAAGGGTAAGATGAACTTCAAATGATCTTTGAGGCTGCTGCAAACTCTACTTCCTGAGCAACCTCTAGAAGTTGATATTTAGCCAGCAGCAGCAGCAGCCTCCTGTAAAACCTGCTGAGGCCAGACCACTGCATACTATGATCTTGATAGAGCTCCCAAAACTGCGTGAGGTCTGCCCGGCCCTTGGATGAGCGACCTCCAAGGAAAGAGCTGGGGTACAGTAAAATGGTACTGATTTAATGGTCGCTTTTTTTCTCTCTGGTCGATGCTGAACCATTGCCCCTCACGTGGTGCTAGCGATTGCTGTGCAGTTGGAAATACCAGCTTTCAAATTTGACATAAAACAAAGGCCGCTTTGTCTTTCAAGATCCCAGTGCATTTTTTCTTGTTAAAAGGAGTCCCAGTGTACTGGCATAAAGTGCATTTATACTCTGAAAACTGCCCACAAAATTGGCATCCCAGGTTCCAAATCTATTAGTGTCTCAAAGATTCCAGACCAAATTTCCAAAATTGCCCTGCAAATTCAGCCTTGCATTTGAGTTAAGCTCTGTTATTTTTGGCAAATGCATCACCATCTAATGTACTCTGAATACACACAAAAAGCAGATCAGTTGAGTCAGAAGGCACCATTCTTAGTTTCTTTTTTGATCATAAGTGTCCTTTACATTCCAGTTTTGGCAATACCATTCAAC